CTCAATTAAATTATGCGTATCCGCGCAATTTGTTTGCAAACCGCCTCCAATACCACATTAACATGGCATGTCCTTCTTTGCGATGGATCGATTGATTAACCCGCCATTTATTCCTGTAGAGAAGGATCGAAAATCAGGGCGTGCGCGACTAACACCTCAATAATCGTTTCATTAACATAGTCTCAAATGGGAAATTTTCAACAGACGACCGGATGAACTGGTAAATATTAGAACCGAACATGCCGATTTATAATCTGATGAACTTTAGAATACAAGTATCATTATAGACTTCAGGTGTCCTCAGGAGAGAGACTTGTCATGTTTTAACATTGTTTCAAATCTAGGTGCCGCGACGTCTGCGAGAGGGAAAGCGCCCTGTTGTGACTTAAGAGTCCGTAATTGTGACAAGTGCTTCTTTGATGGAGCAGGAGACCTTTCGGTTATAATGAATAACTGGCATGTTGCCGATTTTAGTCGTTTCGTCTCGTATTTTCACTTGGTTTTCCTTACATACGAGGAATACTTTCCCCACAGAATCCTCCACAGATTCCTCCACATCCATTTTGTCTTCTTTGTCTACAGCTTTGTCTATCAAGTTCAACGATCAGCCCGCTATCGCAGTTAAGAAAGGAAACTTTCCCCACAGAATCCTCCACAGCTTCCTCCACATCCTTGTTGTCTTCTTTGTCTATAGCTATGTCTATAGCTTTGTGTATCAAGCTCAACGATCAGCCCGCTGTCGCAGTCATAGAAAGGATACTTTTCCCACAGAATCCTCTCTCCATATAGCGACAGAAATTGACGTATTTCATTGACAAACCCTTAAAAAACGGCAACTGAGTGGGCCGCGCGTCAATGGAGGGCAAGAAGGGCGCTAAGCCGAGGCTCGAAGAGTCTGAGAAAATGAGTTTGGGCGGGCGGGCGCGCGGATTGAGGCCAGCTCCTGATTGTGAGGCTCATTCCCGCTCCCGAAAACAATCAGCATACGAGTGATGAGTGTAATCAAAAGCGGATCCCCTCGCTCCCCCCCCTCCCCACCAACCCCCACCCAAGCGGCCGGTGAGCACTTAGCAGGGCAGAACAAATTCGAGCCCACCTGTTAATTGAGTCGCAGCTTGCAGCCTCCGTTTGGATTCGAGCGCGTCGTTACTTTACTTCGCTAAGGAAGAACGCCGTATGAACCTCCAGGCGTTGCCAAATTTATTTTAGTGAATGACGAATTTTCGGGGAAATTTTTAAATATTTTACTGCCAATTTTTTGCATAATTTTGTTTGCGATTCCACCTACAGTTCCTGAAATTTTCAAGGAAAAATATTCACAGCTTTCCTCAAAAATAAACATTTTATCGACGGAAATTTGGCAACTCTCGAATGTGCATGAGACGTTATTCATTAGCATGGCAGAATTGGGTGTTGCTAAATTTTCTCTTGGTAAATGTTTCTCCTTGAACGAAAAAATGAAGATCTTCGATTTTTCTTTGAATTTCTCACGAGCTGTAAAAAAGATTGTGAGTAAACGCTTCTTCACAAATTTTCCAGAAAATTTGAATCTAAAAATTCAAAATTTTAAGGAAAATCGCCGTATATGGACGGTCAAATGCTGCTGGAATTCCTCTTGTAACATATTTGTTCTCAGGGGAAATTATAAGTAGTTCCATTTTGAAATTTTAGGAGCTCCATATTGAATTTTGATTGAAATTCTCTGCACTGACAGAATCATGGTAAAATCTACTATGAGTCTACTTAATTGGTCACACAGTAATACCATTTGGTGAAGATGCGACCAGAATTATACTTGTATTCACCAGAACTAATCCATACCTCTGTCTTGAAAATATTGTAACTCCGCACCATTTTATCTCTTCCACGTCTCAATTGGACGTATTTATGCTAATAGGAACTATGTTGCATGCAAGCCCTATGCTCATAGTTCCTTTCAGCATGAATACATCCGATTGCTCTCCGTTAAACCTTACATCCAGAGATCGTAATCGCATGATATCTATGGACTTCCGAGTAGCTCAGATTGCATACACCACTTAAATGAAGGCAGTCAAACTTTTCTCTAATATTTTCATTCGTTTAAACAGCGAAATGATCTACAAAAGAGGTTCTTCTAATACACTCTTGCCATCTTGCATCCGTGTAAAAAATTACACTCCTCAAAGTCATTTTCGACATTTCAGCCTCAGCTCCGGTATTTTACCAACCAAAAAGAGATGTTCAAGTCGACCGGATCAGGCCGACGTGGAGTCGATTTCATTCCACAATTTATAAATTAATCGAGAAAGAATTTACGAGGGAGTGGCAGTGGTCTGCGGGTCTCGGTCAACAGAGGCGGTCAGTTCGGGGAGGGGGGGGGAGGGAAGGGCCAGAGAAGGTAGCTTGTCGCATTTGATTGAGGCACCTAATGAGCGAAATGTAGAATCCATCATATCCGAACCGGAACCATTATAATGTCAGGATCCAATGCACCGCGGCCTGACATCTGGCGGATTATCATAAAAATCGATGCATTTTGATCAGGGGCTACTGCTCCTACGAACGAGACAGCATTCAAATTTTCACCGGGCTTCGGGCGAGGTGCCGCGATGTTTGTTTTGGAGACCGGGCCGGAATTCTTCCGGTTTTGGGGCACCGGAGAACGGGGACAAATGAAAATATCGCGGGAGATTAGAACGCTAGACACGGTGACACCACTTTATAAATTGATCGGCCCACGCACAGTGGATCGGCATTTGGAAACTTCAAACGCTTATAACTCCGTTAAATCAAAACTTTGAGATTTTAAAAATGGTCCCAGTGGTTTCCTTGTGAAATTTTACCTCGCACTGAAAAAAAATATCGGTGTATTTACTAAGAAAAGGGTAAAATTACCAAGAATTCAGGGTTCTATTTGATCCCAGTTTTGTCTTGGTAAAATTACTATTTATGGAATGGTAATTTTACCGAGAAATCTCGGTAAAATTATTGAACTTTCTCGGTAATTTTACTGGACCTTGGTAGAAACGCCAATATTTTTTATCGACTATGGTAGCATTACCGAGATAAATTGGCAAAGTTACCGGGAATTGATTACCAATAAAAGTGGTATTCTTACCTGAAAAAAAACAGTAAAAATACCGGTTTTTAGGTAAGCTTACCAGTGTCTTGGTAAAATTACCAATAATGGGTAAAAAAAAAGTGAGATGGTAAAGGTACCGACAGACCGTGGTAAAAACGCCGAGAATTTTTTTTCGGTGTATAACTCCGTTAAATCGAAACTCTGAGATTTTAAAAATGGTTCCAATGGTTTTCTCGTGAAATACTTCAGGAGCACCCCTTAAAATTTAAAATGTGACAAATTGAACATCAAAATTTGCAGTTTTATTCAAAAATTTCGTGTCCATCCCTCTGATTGACTCGATCCACTGTGCCGCGGTCGACTGTATTTTTGGTGGCGAAACCGAATTTGTCGGGCGTCCGTTGCAGGGTTATTAATTGCTGCAGACTACCGGCTGCATTTGTGCAGGACTGCATGCGGAGTTGGCCTATAAAGTTTTTTATTTAGTGATTTCCCTTTTTATGTCTTTTTTAGTCGAAAGGGAGCTTGCTTTCGTAGAACGGCACTCCCTGCGCACTATTGCGGTTGCATCGTTGGTCCGATTTAACGCCTATCAATTGGGGCCGTTTAACGAGCAAAACATAAAATGTGAAGTTTCGGCAGGTCTCCATTAGGGTTATCGTCAAGAAAACGACTTCTCACAAAACGCACATATCTCGGGCTTTTTGCAGAGGCATGTGCAGGTCAATGAGAGGACTCAGATTTTTTCTTTCTTCCTTCCTTTCTTTCTTTTAAATCAATAGAGCTGGGTAAATGTATGTGGGCCAGCAATATCTATTATCGTTAACCACCAAACTTTTGTCTCCTAAATGATAAATTAAGTAACTCATAAAAGGAAATACAATTTTTTTTTAAAGTGAAAGCTCGTGGATAGAATTCTCCATGCTCATTAGAGGAACCTCCTTTCCTGCAGTCGTCTAATCCTCTAAGGCAAGAACAAAACTAAAAACTAAAAAAGAACAATCATAAATGTGGTTCAATATTTTTAACTTCCACCGCTGCGCCGTGCTGATCGCACTTTGTTTCGCGCAATGCGTGAAGTATTCCTACACTCTTGTCGGCGCTTTGCCTTTCACGCCGACCGCTGCTGAACGCACTGTGTTTGACGCAATGCGTGAAGTATTCGTGCAGGCTTGTAGGCGCCATGCGTTACACGACGACCGCTGCTGACCGCGCTGTGTTTGACGCTATGCGTGAAGTATTCATGCAGTCTTGTAGGCGCTGATATGTGTTACATGTCGACCGCCGCGCCGAGGGCCTCTCTTTTTCATCTCGAGTCCTCGTCATCATTGCTCTCTGCGCCGCGCCGCTCCAGGTCAAATTGCGTGTTTGGTTTCTCGCATAACTCGACTGATTAGAGGTGCTGTGTTTTGTATGACCGCAAAACGACAAAATTAGAAATTACGATACTCACAGAAAATGCAAGATTTTGTCACCTTTTCCCGTTTGCAATTTCTTCATTAAACCTACATTTAAAAAAAAATTGCAAAATTTGCCGCCCCCTAAATTTGCCGCCATGGGCCGCGGTCATGTGGCCACCCCCTTAATTCGGCCCTGGTCCTACAATTTGTTCAAGGATTTTCTCCAATTGTCTTTAAAGGGGTTGTTTTTACTACTAGGGTATGCACTCGATAAACACGGAACAAATGAAATTGCTGCTTCAACAATTTTGTAGTTAAAAAAAGTGTCCGACGTGTTTCAATGTAGATTTTAATTAAAAATTGCTAACTCAACCACCCTCGTGGTTAATTTAGCTTTCCACTATTGTAGAATGTACATTTAAAACATATATGTTTTGACAATTTAATTATTAAATCAGCAATCCATTTTTCCGTGAATGTTTCATAGATCTCTTGAGACAATGGCTGTAACTAATTTCCCTCCTTTTCTGTTTCAGCTCGCCGGAGAAGAAGTGGATGTGGTCGAAGCAGTGTCAGGCTCGGCGCCCGAACACAGGGCAGCCCCCGAAACCAATGACACCCCTAGCCAAACAGCCCAAAACAGGGACGACACCGAGACGGCCAGCTCCGACCAAGTAGCGCAAGAATCCACCCCCGACCAAGTACAACAAGAATCCGCCCCGAAGATAAACTACGGCCCGCCACCCCTCCCTCCGAACCGCGGCCACCCCCTCTCCCTCCCCGTGCGCGGACACCCACCCCCTC